GGTGGGGGGTGGGGGGGAAGGGATGGGGGAATTGTATACTAATGAAGGAATTTTTTTTTTCTTTTTCTTTTCGGAGAGGGGAGCGAACTGGTGGGGAGGGGTGGGCAGGGAGAAAAGTGCGGCAATGAATGAATGGAAATCCAAAACCTCTGTAAATGTCTATTAAAATTAATAAAATAAAAATAAAAGACAAAAAAAAATCCCAGAGGGTCAAAAAGGGAAAGAAAAACACACAAAGATTCAGCGGATTGTCACCTTGGCAATCATGGCCTCAAGCATAGCAACTGTGAGGAGGGCACAGACCTGGCATGTGTTCACTCTGCCGTCCCCGTGTGTCAAAACTGACCTTTCATAATGGACACACTTCCGGAGGAGGGAGAGGAGGCCCTTTGTCCATGGATGGCCCAGAAGGGCTCCTCACCCATAGCTGTGCATGGCAGGAGAGCCAGGGGGCCTTGAGGTACAATGGTGCTGAAGTGAAAGTTCTTCTGGGCAGGGGACAGTGACCGTGACTCAGGCAGCCTCAGCCGTGGGCTGCACAGCCACGTGGACATGCCCTTCTCTTCCTGTGCTGTGTGACTGTGGAGGCCGTTCCCCCTGCCCTGGCCTGAGCGTCCGCCATCCCTGTCACGGGACCAGGCCATCTTACAGGTTCTGGGTCTCAGGGACGGTATAGCCGGCCTCGCCCTGTCCTACAGCTGCCCACAGTTTCTTCTTGGGGGTAAAACTAGACCTATCTGGGGGCCAGAGCAGGTTGATGGCTCAGGGAGAGGGGAACTGCTTTTAGTGCCCCTCCATTCTAGCGGGTCACTGTGCACAGAATGCCCGTCTGAGTCCCCATGGGGAGTGGCCACGTGTCTGGTTTTGGGGGTGTCTTGTGCTACCCTCTTTCATCTCAGCGTCTGAGCTGCTGGTGCCCTTTTGCTCTTAGGAAAGGCATGTCCCCACAGCCACCTTGAACCCCAGCCATCTGTGCCCAGGTCCACCTGAGTCCACGGAGGCCCGACTCAGGCCAGTCCTGATGTCTGGGCAGGAGGCTGAAGGCCACCTCGCCTGGGCCCGTCCTCCTGTCTCTACTCAGGATGCCTGCTCTGCACCCCAGCCCTGCCCTCTCTGCCCTTGGCCTGTCAATGCTGGACATCTTGCAGGATGTCACTCTGCCCACCTCCCAGTGCTGCCCTTGGCCAGTCTCTGCTGGACACCCCGCAGTATGCCACCTCTACCCGCCTCCCAGCCCTGCCCTCCCTCACTCCCATCTCGCCCAGCTCCCTCCTGACTTCCCTCCGCAGCGACTTGATGAGGCTCTCATGGTTTTCTTCCTTCTTCTCTGTCACCTTCCTTCTCTTCCCAGGCCCCCGAAATGGGTCCCAAACTTGCTGCAGAAGCCCCATAAAAGTGAACTGTCTCCCTGCCCAGTGGACCACGACCACACGGCACTGGGGTGGCCTGCCTGTCCTCAGGGAGTGTCCTCCACAGCCCCCATGAGCCCTGCCTGGGGGGGGGGGGTCCCTCTTGTCCAGACTTAAGACATCCATTTCCTGTCTCCCTTAGGGGTTCCTGGGAGGTGCATTAGTTAGGTCACTCAGCTGTTAACTGAAAGGTGGGTGGTTCAGATCCGTGCAGAGGTACCTCAGAGGAAAGGCCTGGTGACGGATTCCTCCCACCCTGACACAGATGCACACACACGTACACGCATGCAAGTGCACGCACATGTGCGCACACACACACACACGTGCATGCACATACGAGGCCATCGCAGGTCAGAGTGGATGTCACCTGGTTCAGGCGACACCTGCCAAGCGGACACTGTCCTCTGAACCTGATGGCTGGCCAGGCAATCCGTCCTGTGCTGGGCAGGCCGGGCTCCTGTGCACTCATTCTTCCTCTGAAGGGGCCACCTAGCCCAACCCCCCTTTAGGTGGACATGGGACTCTGGGCCCAGATGGCAGTCTGGACATTGGGATTTCGGGCCACAGCGAGGAAGGATCTGAGGAAGCTGAACTGACCAGAACCCCGTCCCACACAGTCCACATATTCCATACACGGAGGGTGGGCAGCTCCCTGCCCCAAGACCCTGAGACACGGCCAGGCTGGGGGCCTTTACAGCTTTTATTGGTTCCTCTGTTTAGGGCTCAGGGTTCAGGGCTGGGAGCCGGGTCTCAGGGAAGCTAAGAGGCTCAGGAAGGAGTGAGGTGTCCGGGAGCGCAGGGTGAGGGGACCCAGTGACAGTGCGAGGTGCAGACTCCCTCTGCAGCACATGGGACAGCTTTGCTCACAAGTCCTTCTTCTTGACCTGAGCAGGAGAAGGCAGTTCAGAGCCCAGGGCTGAGCCAAGCCTTGAACCAGGAGGCCTGGCCCAGGAGTGCTACTGCTCCCATCACCACGCCAATGCCACAGCAACCAAGGGCTGTATTACCAGATTGGGGTCCCCTGTACCCAAATAGAATTTCACCCCTTCTTCCCAGAAGGCCCCCGCCCTCTCCCCTTACCATGGCCACCAGCACCAGGGCGCTGACCAGCACGGCATACAGGGCAGCCTTCCCCAGCAGGACCTCATAGAGGACAGTGGCCGAGAGGAGCCCCTGCTTGTAGGACACTGGGGGGAGGGGACAGACTGTGAGTAAGTGGCCCTGCCCTGCCCCCACAACCTCACTCACTTCCCACTGTATGTGGTGGGGGATGGGGTCACTTACCCGAGGTGAAGCCACAGTCTGAAAGAGAAGGGAGGAGGTGCATTGTCAACACAGACAGTCAGACAGGCCCTCCCCAGACAGCCTGGCCTGGTGTACCCCCTCCAGTGCCAGGGCAGAACCCCAGGACAGGAGCGCTTGTGGGGAACATGTCCTCTTGCACTAAGCTGACCTCCCCTCCCCTTGTTCTAAGTTCAGCCTCTCTGTCCTCATCCCAGTGGTCAGCCTGTCCTCGGTCCCTCCCTGCCCCCTGCCCGCTCTGGTTGGTCAGACATGCCCACCTCTCATCCCCAGGCCCCACCTGCTCGGCCCCAGGCCTCAGCGTTGATTTTCTGGGTGACAGGCTTGGGTGTGGACAGGTCCCACTCTTGGTCCTCGTCCACGCCGTAGAACTGGACCTGGCAGCGGAAGTGGTTCCTGGGGTTGTGCCAGAAGGCGGCCTCCACCCTCAGGCGGCTGCTCAGAGCGTAGGGGGAGCCCTGGCTGCCGGGCTGCTCCTGGCGGGGCTGGGGGTCCGTGCTGACCCCGCTGATGGCCTCTTTGCCGTTCACCCACCAGCTCAGCTCCACGTGGTCAGGGTAGAAGCCGGTGGCCAGACACACGAGTGTGGCCTTCTGAGTGCTGGAGATCTCGGCCGGGGAGGGCTCAAAGATGGTCACCTGTGGTGCTTTCACCTTGTCCAGGTTCTCTGAGGAAGAGGCAGACTGGTCAGAGCATGTGGGGGTTCTGGGGTGGGTAGGGGCAGCACAGACATGGGCACACACTGAGCATGTGAACGTGTGTGCAGTGTGCCTGTCTGCATGTCCTGTGCAGTGAAAGTCTGTGTTGTGTGTGAGTGTGTGTTTATGTGTGTCAGCATCCATGTGTATCAGTGGATGTGAGTGTGTCTGTACAATCATGTGTGTCACTGTGTATCTGTGGATGTGAGTGTGTCTGTATGATCATGTGTGTTGTGTGTGTCTGTGTGTTTCTGTGGATGTGAGTTGTATCTGTGTGTATATATGTATGATCATTTGTGTCAGCGTCTGTGTTTCTGTGGATGTGAGTGTGTCTGTGTGTGTCTGTACGATCATGTGTGTCGGCGTCTGTGTGTTTGTGTGGATGCATGTGAGGCATGTGTGTGGTGTCACATCCCAACACAGTCTGAGTAGTAGCCTGTCTGTCCTGAGACACTGCCCTGCCCTTGTCCTCCTACCTCCTGGGCACACACTTGCAGAATGCTCTGTCCACTCCACATACCACCACGTACCACGTGCCCACTGCCTCCCTAGACCTCAGCTGTGCAGGTGGCCTCCCTTGTCTTGCATGGGGACCCTGCACGCTCCCCTGGCCCCTCCTGATACTAGCACTTCCCTGAGCGAGCTTCCTCTCCACCTTGGTCACCAGGCCTGGCTCTCTGCGCAGTCTCAGTGTCCTCCCTGGCACCTCAGGCCTCAGCCCACACTCACTGGGCCTCCTCTTGGACAGGTCCCTTCCTGGGGGCCTGTCCTGTTTCTGACAATTCTGTTCCAATGAGGACATCTCGTCCTTTTATGAGCACCCCGTCTAGCCTGGGATCCGAGGCAGTGCTGGCCTAAGGGGCACTTCCCATCTCTCTTGGCATGACCTCGTCCAGGGTCAGCTCGATGGGCATGGTCCCTACAGTCCCACAGTGGCCCCAGCTCGGAGCCAAGCTCTGTGCTGCCATCTTGGATTTCTTGGTGATTTTTAAGTGAGGCTCCCACAAGGTGATGGTCAGCTGGGACCGCAGAGGTATTGGGGTCTGTGTCTTCTCATGTCAGCCCCCTCGTGTCCCACTAACTGCTGCAGTGCCCACAGGTCTTTGCTGGCTGGTGGACCAAGGAGGACAGTCAGCGTCATTGGCCCATCTTTCATCCTGGTCACTGCAGGGCCTGGATCTGAGAACAGCGGGCCTGCAGGGACCCCAGGGACCGTGCCCCTCCTGCGCTCTCCTGACACACACTCAGCCCTGGCTGTGCAAACAGGGCGTCCTGGCCTCTGTACCTCTCCTCCATGCTGACGGGGAAGCCTGGTGACAGACAGAGGCAGGATCCCACTGCCCTATTCAGAAGGCCTATCTGCTCCTCAGCTGTCCCTCGGGCCTCTGTGACCCTGTGGGGCTGGGTCCCTGTGGGCACAGCTGGGACATCAGCATGTCCTGGCCCCCGCATCCTGCTTGCGTGAGACTAGAAGTCGTTCTGCCCACTTCCGGCTCAGCTCTCCCACAGACACAGTCCTTGCCCCCATTTCCCAAATCCTGTCCCCCTCCCCTCCCCCACCCAGTGCAGGGCAGGTGGGGGAGGGAGCAGCAGGCATCTCCCCACCCCCACAGTGGACTGACCCCTGACCCTCAACAACAGTGACCGTGTGGCGTGAGGAGCTCAGGACACTGAGCAGGAAAGAACACGGTGGGGCATCCAGGCTTGTGTGGATGGCAGAGTCCCAGCCGTCCGGAGCCTGGGGTCCCCCTGCACCTGCCCCTCTGTGATCCCACTCAATGACCAGTCCCCACTGAGGACCAGGCTGCCGCTCTGGTGGCTCTGAGGGCTCTGCCCCACTGCTATGGTCAGGTGGCTAAGTGCCACCTCCGACCAGAGGCCTGGTGCAGGTGATGTCTGTGCCCTGGGACCGCAAGTCTCACACCTCCCTGAGGATTGTCCCCCACACGTGGGCAGAGACCGCATTTCAGTGTGGCTTTGTGACAGCAGGACTCCTGTGCCCCAGGCTACAGAGGTCCCTGGGAGGGGGGAGTCCAGGCAGGGTGTACCCATGCAGAGGGACCCCTGAACTCACGGGACCAGACCTGGCTTTGCTGACGCTGAGGAGGGGACGCAGTTCTGGGGTGGAGGATCGGCCCCCTGGGTTTCTGTGCTGTAACCTTTAGGGAAGCAACACCCCCCCCCCCCCAGCTCCCACCACCAGCCTTAACCCAGGCACTTCCCCTTTCAGACCACCAGGGCCCCAGAAAGGGCTGGAGCCAGAACACAGCAACCCGCGCAGGCTCAGGCGAGTGTCCAGTCTTCCCTGGCAGACTCCCTTCTGGGCCTGTCTCCTCCCCTTTCTCCCATCCTGCGTGTCCTCCTTTGTCCCCCATCCCTGCTCAAGGTCACAATCCCCCTTCCTCACATCTGTCCTTGGCGCGGTGGAGCACGGGCCTGCGGACCCCTGCCCTGCCAGTCTGTCCCTGCTGTCCCTCCCGGAGGAGCGCCCCCAGCCCTCCCACCTCGTCCCCAGATCTGCTCACCCCCCCCCCCCGCCGGCCAATCCCTCCCAGGTCCCTCGGGAAAGGAGACCCAAGGTCCTGTAAGCGCCAGCCCCGCGCCCTGGCACCTCGGAGAGGCAGCGGCAAGTCAGGCGCGGACTGTCCCCCGGGGGCCGCCTCCCCAGCGGCCTAGCCCCTCCCGGGGGACCGCACGGGTCCCAGGTGGACACCGCCCGACCTCACCTATGACAGTGAGCCTGGTGCCGCCGCCGAAGTGCTGCTCATAGGAGCACAGGGCCCCCGCGCAGTGTGCAAACCCCGCGCGCCCCTGCCGTCGCCGCCCCGGCACAGCACCTCCCGCCGCCCGGAACCAGCTGGGGTCTCCTCCGACACGACACGGCAGAAGCCCCCTGGCCCTGCCAACCCCCCAGAACCTCAGTCCCTCAGCGACCCGCGCCTCGAAGCCCGGCCTCCCCGCCAAGCAGTGGCGGCGCCCCTCGGCCCTGCGCTCACCCAGGACGGTCAGCCGGGTGCCCGTGCCGAAGGTCTGCGCCTCCGCTCACGGCCCGCGGGCTCCGTGCAGAAACCAGCCGGACCCCTGGCCACCCCCGCCAGGCCCGCGCAGACCCCCCGCTCCCACCCCGTCCCCAGGGCCCCCGCTCACCCAGGACGGTCAGCCGGGTGCCAGCACCGAAATACTGGGTTTCTGTGTCACAGATGGGGAGCACCGGACAAAAACTGGGGGCGCCATCCCTCTGTCCTGCGTTTTCCACAGGCCCTGGACCCAGGGCCGCAGACTCCTCTGCCCACCCGCCCAGAAGCCTCCAGGACCCTGGCCCTTCCTTACCCAGAACGACCAGCTTCGCCCCTTCCCAAAGAAGAGCTGAGAGGTGCTCACACAGCCTCGGGGTGCACGGCGCAAACCGCAGCCAGATCCCCCCCCCCCGCAGTCCTGGGGTTCAGGGCCCAACCAGGTGACCAGCCCCTGCCACCGCCACCCTCAGCAGCACTGTCTTACCCAGGACCGTGAGCCTCGTGCCTTGCCCAAAGAACTGCTCGTTATAGGAGCACAGTGTGAAAAGGGGGTATCAAGAATCCCCCTCCCTGGGCCTCCCTGGAGCATGGGGCAGCCTTCTCCATCCCGAGGGGCGTTCTCTTGCCCTAGTCCGGAATGAGCTGAGCAGAGCCAGCTGGATGTCCACCAGGCCCCTCATTTTCAGGGAGCCAGCTTGGCGTGGGGACAATATTCTGGACCTGGACTCTGCTGGTGACCATGGCACTGGGGACAGGGGCTGGGGGTGGGGAGCTGCAGTTGTCTCTGCTTCTTTCTCTTGTCCCAGTTGTGACCCCTCTGACCTCAGTGTCCTTTCCTGGAAAGGTGGGGCACCTTCATGCCTGGTGAAATGGAGGGCCAGTGTGAAAGAGGGAGTCGTGTGAGATGGACTCAGGCAGTGGCTGCAGCCTGCACCCCACCCAGCAGGAGCTGCGGCCCAGGCTCGCCCAGGCTGGCAGGATCTGTTCTGCTGACCATGAACGTCCTGGGAGTTGGAGCGGAGCTCAGGGACCACATCATTCCCTCAGGGTTGTTATTTTCTCTCTCTCTCTTTTTTTAAATTTTATGTTATCATTTTGTGTGTGTGTACCATCAAATCAGATCTGACTGGTACAGGAGGAGATTGCACCCCTTCTCCAGCAGAGCATCTGGTGGATTCAAACCCCATACCTCTGGGATTGCAATGCAGCTTCTTGCCACTAGGCCACCAGAGCTCCTGGTTGTTATTTTCTTAAGCACAGCCTGTGTGAGGTGGAGGGAGGGTCTATTAGCAGTGCTGGTTCCGAGTTCCCCATTGGGGTTCAAGCCTCCCCTTGGGTCAGAGAAGGGAAAGTCAGAGGCTGACCTCATCCAGGATGGGACTGCTCCCACCTGGAGCTGCACCCCTGGACTGGTGGGGTGTTTCTCAGGGAAGACTTTTTGTAAAAGCTCTTCCTTTACTTGAATCACTGTGCCCCCCCCAGTCCCACAATGTTACACCCAAGAACAAAAATGCCACCTCTCCCACATCCCCCACCACCAGGCAGGAGCAGGAAGACCAGGTGGCAGCGGTTGGTGCAACTGAGGTGCCAGGGAGAGGCAGTGGGAGAGGCTGGGGGCTGGGAGTGGGCGGGCAGGGAGGCCCCTCCTGCAGGCGCACCACCTGAGGCGAACACTCTGCAGGCCTCCTTGCTGGGGTGGCATTTGCATGGGCCCCCACACTGACTGTCATTTATAGAGAGACAGGGGCGGGGCCAGGGGCAGAAGCCTGACAGCAAACCCACAGAACAGGTGACAGCAAACCTCCCTCTGACTGAAGACAAGCCTCCAGAAACCCTGACTTCCGGAGTGAAATCTTGTCCTCGTTCATCCATTCACTTGTCATTTGTCACTTTGCCCTTCCAGATGGACACCTACTGTGTGCCTAGCTTGACACTAGCTTTGGGAATTCCAGCTCATATTTTTTTGGGGAGGGGCAGCCATTCTCTCTCCAGCCTCATATGCGTTTCCTTTTGAACCTAGTCCCAGAGCACCCGACCACTTTGACTCGTCTTCTGGAGTTTATTTCATGCCCCTGACTGGCTAGACCCTTTCCTGGGTGGACAGCCAAGATCAAGGCTTCCTTTGATGAATTAGTCACACCCTTGAACCTTTTCTGGGTTTTCCTGCCAAAAGTGGAGGGCTGGCCTCTGACCCCATGTGTGTTGAATTGATTTTGCCTTTTTTTTTAATTTAGCTTGTTTATTTTTCATTTCAATGAACATCTACAGAGATTTTGGAATTCCATTCATTCATTGTTGCACCCTTCTCCCCGCACAAACCCCTCCCCCCTACAGAACAACTGGACAGCGGGGAAGGACATGCCCCTCACCCCCTCTATAGAGTTTCTCCTGCTAATAACATCTGACATTCGTGTGGCTTATTTGCCACAATCAATGACTCAGTATGGTTACATTGTTAGTATCTAAAGTCAAGATAGATAGACTGTTATAAACTGCCTAGTGGAAGGAAGCTGCACTGCAATACCAGAGGTACATGGTTCAAATCCACCAGATACTCTGCTGGAGAAGGAGGGACAATCTCCTCCTGTACCAATCAGATCCAAATTGACAGTACACACACACGACCCTCGAGAACATTATGCTGAGTGAAATATCTCAGTCACAAAAGGACAAACACTGCATAGTACCACTGCTGTAGAATGAGATTGACATCAGGGTTGGGGTTAAGAATGAGAAAAACTGGATGAATTATGGATACTGCATTGAAACCAATGAGGGAGAGAATAGTTTAAAAGGAATATATTTTAGGGCATTATGATTATCATAAAAGTCCGGAATGAAGGTTGCAGAGTGGAGTATACTCAGGGTGGGGGTGGGGAGGTGCAGGGGGATTGTATACTAATGAAGGAATTTTTCTTTTACTTTTCAAAGAGAAGCACAAACTGGGGGTGAGGGTGGTGTGGGCGGGGAGAAAAGTGCAACAATGAATGAATGGAAATCCAAAATCTCTGTAAATGTTTATCGAAATTAATAAAAAAAAATAAAGCACAACATCTAAAAAAAAATTCTTAAAAAAAAAAACCACCCCAAAGCCAAACTTTTAAAACAAACTTGTTTTGGAAGAACTGGAGCCACAATGCTTATTAGAAACTAGGATGATGAGACTTTGTCTCGCGGACTTTGAACGTATTATCAAGAAGAGTGAATCCCTGGAGAAGGACGTTGTGCTTGGAAGAGCAGAGCTGTCCTGGACAGTGGCTCGTCCACCACTCACAGTGACTCTCTGGACGACGCAGAAACCCGGCCTTGTGCCGCTCCATCCTCTCACCCCATCATGCCCACCCCCACAGTCGCGCTCATTGTCTGCTCCATCTCCTCGAGGGTCTCTATCTCTTTTGCTGACCTTCCACCTTCCCAAGCAAGACATGTTTCTTCAAGGGCTGAAGTCTTGGCAACATGTTAAAAGTATGTGAGGGAAAGTTTCATCATCCTTGCCTCTAAGGAGTACCATGGCTGCAATTCCTCCAAGAAAGACTGGCTTGTTCTTTTGTATTACCTAGTGTATTCAGTACTCTCCATCAAGATCATAATTCAAAACACCATCAATTCTGTTTTACTCATCACTCAACTTTCACATGCCTCTGAAGCAATTGAAAATACCACGAGTTGGGCAAGGTGGACCTTAGTCTTTAAATTGACATCCCTGCTCTTTGGCTCTTTGGAGAGGTGCTCGGCAGCTGATTTTCCCAGCGCAACGAGTCTTGATTTCTCGACTGACACTACCATGGTTGTTGATCGTAGACTCAAGGAAAATGAAGTCTTGGTCATGTCAATCTTTCCTCCATCGATCAAGGTTTTGTCGATTGATCTAGCAGTGATGATTTGCATATTTTTACTGTTAAGATATAATCTATATTGAAAGCTAAAACTTTGATCCTCTGCAGTAAGTGCTTCAAGTCCTCTCCACTTTCTGCAAGCAAGGCTTTTGTCATCTGACTAATGTAGGTCTTCAGTGAGTCTTCTTTCAATTTGGTGTCATGTTCTTCTGAATATAGTGCCTCCTTTCAAGTCATGTCAGCACACAGACTGACTAGGTGTGGAGAAAGGATTCAACTCTGGTGCACACTTTTCCTGTCTTTAAACACGCTGTGTCTCTGTGTTCTATCTGAATAACTCTTCTTGTTCTACGTACAGACTGTATGTTCAGGTTCTGTCTGAGCACAATCACTTGTTCAGGGATTTCTAAGTTCAAACTGAAATCAGTGTTGATGTCTCTCTTTCCACAGCCTCTTCTGAATCCAGATTGAATGTCTGGAAAAATAGAGAGTCAGCAAAATAGAGGAAGACCCTTAGTCAGATGGGTTTATGCAGTGCCTGCAGCAAAGGACTTAAGCACAGTACCGATTGTTATGATGGTACAGGACCAGGAAAGCTTTTATTTGTACCACTCACACAGCGTTTCTGAGATTCAATCCATACTGAAGGCTGCAGTCCTTGACCTTCTGCAGCAGGTGCTTTAGGTCCTTCTATGTTTCAACAAGCAGGTTTGTGTCATCTACGTAACACAGATTGTTGATGAATCTTCCCCCAATCCTGATGCCACATTCCTCCTCATAGAGCCCAGCCTCCTGGATGATCTGTTCTGCGTATAGATTGAAAAGGTATGGAGACAGGACACATCCCTGGCATATACCCTTCCCAATTTTGAACCATACAGAGTTTCCTTGCTCTGTTCTGGCAACTGCCTTTTGGTCCAAGTATAGGTTTTGCATGAGCACAATCAAGTTTTCTAGGATTCCCATTCTTCTCAGAGTCAGCCACGGTTTGTTAATATGGATTGAAGCTCAACATCAAGAAAACAAAGATTCTCACCACAGGGCCAATTGACAGCATCAAGATAGGTGGTGAAAAGATTGAGAATTGTTGACAGCTTCAGTTTGCTTGGCTCCACAATCAACACTCTTGGTACCAGCAGCCAGGAAATCAAAAGACAAATTGCATTAGGAAAGTCTGCTGTCAGGCACCTCTCTAGACTACTGAAGAGCAACAATGTCATTCTAGAGACTAAGGTGCACCATGGTCTTCACAGTTACTTGCTATGTGTCAGAAAGCTGGCCAATGACTAGGGATGATAGGAGAATTGATGCCTTTGAACTTTGGTGCTGGAGAAGAGTACCGAGTATACCATGGACTGCTAGGAAAACAAACAGGTTCATCTTGGAGAGGGTGAAGCCAGGCTGCTACTTGAAGGCAAGGATTCTGAAGCTTTATCTGACATACTTTGGACATGTTGCAAGGAGGGACCAGTCATTGGAGAGGGACATCATGCTTGAGAGGGTGGAGGGACAGTGCAAGAGAGGAAGACCCTCAATGAGATGGATTTAGTCAGTGACTGGCGTAATGGTAGGTGTGTCAGAGACAACAATTAGGTTGTCTCAGGATACAGTGGAGTTCAGAGCTTAGGGTCTGTACTAGGGTCGCTATGAGTCGCAAATGATTTGACAGCACATGACAACAACCACCCCCCACCCCACATAGCATTGCTGTGAATTTGACACCTAACAACAAAACCAAAATTGACAATTGATATCTGGAACCCTGGTGATGCAGTGGTTACATGCATGGCTGCTAACCTGAAGAGTGATGGTTCGAGTCTACTAGCAGCTGCGTTGGAGTAAGCCAGGCCAGGCGACTCCTGGAGGGATACCGTGCTGAGGGACATGATGGGGCTGACCGCTCTGTCCTTCAGGGTTGCTGAGAGTGGACATTGGCAGTGGCAGCTGCGTTTGGGTTTGGTTATCAGTTACCTCAGGGTTCATTCTACAGTTATACTCTGTTCTGAGAAATGCATCCTGTCCCGTGTCTGCCATTCCTGCGTCCTGCGTCACTGCCTGAGTCAAGCCCTCTTCTCCACCTCATCCTCGCTGCCTTCCTCCTGAGCCCCGGCAACCAGTGACCTCTTCCAGAACGCTGACTGCTGTAAAGACCTCCCGCTACTCCCAGGCGTAACCTTGTGCTTCTGCTGCTTCTGTCCGCCCTTCTCGCCTGTGAATATGTGAACTTCCTGGGGACTGTGACTCTTGGGTCTTTGTCTTTGTGAATATCAGTGGTAACACATTGGGGTGATGCGTGCATTTGAACATGGACACAGACGTGGACACTTGAATATACACATGTGTGCTGCAGCACCGAGAGACTCTGGGGGGAAGGGAGAGACTACTCTGGGATGCTCCCGGGGTCACTCTTCCTCAGGGAGGTCTCCTTAACTCATATCTTCAAAAATAACTTCTTCCTACCTGTGACTGGACCACACTGCATTATATACCTGTGGGTCCTGCGCTCACCCACACTCTGTCATCAAGGGGCTTATGGTTGAGGGGGAGTGTCAGCAGGTGGAAGGGTCACCGTCCATCATGTGTGATGAAGGTCATGAAGGAGACATGCCCAGGGCACTGTACAACAGAAAAGGGACACCTGGTCTGAAGGGTAAGGGGCACTGAGGGCCAGGAGGTGGTCTGAGCTGAGTCCAGGAGAGCCAGGCCCCTAGGGAGGAGATGAAGCATCAGTCCAGGGCAAGAGGCTATTCTAGGGGGCTGAAGGCAGATTTCCTGAGGGGACTTAGGGAGAGACGAGATATGTGCTGAACAGGAGGCCTTTGGGGTGCTTCCCCATGACCCTAACCTGGCAACAGAGACTACAGAACTAGAGCTGACCCCCAGCGTGAATGGACATCACTTTCTATGTCCCTGGGAGCGCTGGGATGTTGTCAAGTCTGTGCAGTCCACCAGGGAGACGAGTGTAAACTGGGAGATGCAGCTGCTCTGCAAAGTGAACATTCCAGCTGTGGGCTTGCTGCCCCTTAGGGGAACGGGGTGCCATGCTTGGTGAGAAGCTGCAGGACGCAGGTGTCCACCCGTGGACATGCCGGGCCCTGGGCCCATAGCTTGGTGCAGACATTCCTGTCCAATACCCCGCCTTTCTGGGCTCTTCCTGAGCAGCCCCTTGGCATCCATCACCATCTTTCAGACTTCACAGGTGAGAGAAGTCAGTCACCAGGACCATCCCCCACCCAGGAGCTCCTCTCCTGTGCACAGCCGGGTTGAGGGGCTAAGGGAGGGCAGGGGAGAAGTCAGACAGGGCGGTGGAGCCGAGCAGAACAGTTTATTGGTTTGGTCGGGTGCATGTGGGCTCGCTAGCGGCGTCCTGGGTCATGGGTCATGGCAGTGAGGGTCCAGGCGGGCTGTTCTGGGTGGGAACGGGGTTGAGCAGGGTGTGGGCACAGCCGCCTGCTGGACGTAAGGACAGGACCCTGGCCTCCCCCCAGGGATGGCTTCAGGGGTCCTTCTTCTTGATCTGAAGAGGAGAGAGTGGGGGTTACAGAAGCCAGGACAGATGAGGGAAGAGAGGACAGAGTGAGGTTCGCAGTGTCCAGTAGTCAGCCTTTGCCAGCAGCCTCCCATGGTCCCACACAGACTTGCCTCTGGGCTTCCTAGCATGTAGGTGACCTCCCCTATTGTCCACTTCTGATCCTCTTCCAGACCTTCTGTACCCCAGAGAGAGTTTCACCCTTCCCTCCCAGAACCCCCCCTCAGCCCCTTACCATGGCCACCAGCACCAGGGCGCTGACCAGCACGGCATACAGGGCAGCCTTCCCCAGCAGGACCTCATAGAGGACAGTGGCCGAGAGGAGCCCCTGCTTGTAGGACACTGGGGGGAGGGGACAGACTGTGAGTAAGTGGCCCTGCCCTGCCCCCACAACCTCACTCACTTCCCACTGTATGTGGTGGGGGATGGGGTCACTTACCCGAGGTGAAGCCACAGTCTGAAAGAGAAGGGAGGAGGTGCATTGTCAACACAGACAGTCAGACAGGCCCTCCCCAGACAGCCTGGCCTGGTGTACCCCCTCCAGTGCCAGGGCAGAACCCCAGGACAGGAGCGCTTGTGGGGAACATGTCCTCTTGCACTAAGCTGACCTCCCCTCCCCTTGTTCTAAGTTCAGCCTCTCTGTCCTCATCCCAGTGGTCAGCCTGTCCTCGGTCCCTCCCTGCCCCCTGCCCGCTCTGGTTGGTCAGACATGCCCACCTCTCATCCCCAGGCCCCACCTGCTCGGCCCCAGGCCTCAGCGTTGATTTTCTGGGTGACAGGCTTGGGTGTGGACAGGTCCCACTCTTGGTCCTCGTCCACGCCGTAGAACTGGACCTGGCAGCGGAAGTGGTTCCTGGGGTTGTGCCAGAAGGCGGCCTCCACCCTCAGGCGGCTGCTCAGAGCGTAGGGGGAGCCCTGGCTGCCGGGCTGCTCCTGGCGGGGCTGGGGGTCCGTGCTGACCCCGCTGATGGCCTCTTTGCCGTTCACCCACCAGCTCAGCTCCACGTGGTCAGGGTAGAAGCCGGTGGCCAGACACACGAGTGTGGCCTTCTGAGTGCTGGAGATCTCGGCCGGGGAGGGCTCGAAGATGGTCACCTGTGGTGCTTTCACCTTGTCCAGGTTCTCTGAGGAAGAGGCAGACTGGTCAGAGTATGCAGGCCTGTCCCTGTGGGTGTCTGTGTCTGTGACAACACCCATGTTTGTAAGTGTGTGATCACCTGTAGGTATGGACACGTGTGTGAATGTGTGCTCATGTTTGAGTGTGAGCAGCTTATGTGTGTGTTTGTGTGTGAGGGGGCACGGGACAAGCCCATCACACGGCCCCAGCAGCAGGGTCTGCCCATGGTCACTGTCCCATCCCCTCCTGTCATTCTCCCCTGTGCCCACCTTACTAGCTGCCCATGGACACTGCCCGGCTCTTCAGGGAGGTGAGATGTCTCAATTTCTTCCTGGCCTATAATCCTCTCACCACATCCTGGCTGGCTCTCCCGAGAAGGACCTGCCTGATGCCCACTGCTCCAGGCCCACTCTCCCTCACTGTCCACCCCTCAGACTTCCACAGGGGTGGGGTGTTGCTGCTCACAGAGCACCCACGCACCCTGCAGCGCCCACCAGCAATGGGAGCCCAGGAAGGAGCCATTTTTTCTAATGTCAACCTCCCACTTCTCCAGATGCATGTGCTTGTCTGTTTTGGAGAAGCCCCATCTTAGAAGAAATTCTCCTCAAAACCAGCTCCTTTCCCCTGCATCCAGGACGGTCCCCCTCCACACTGTCCCCTGCACCTACGATGTCCCCCCCTGCACCCAGGACGGTCCCCCTCCACACTGTCCCCTGCACCTAGGATGTCTCCCCCCTGCATCCAGGACGGTCCCCCTCCACACTGTTTCCTGTGCCCCAGGCTTTCCCCCTCCATGGTCTCCCCTGTGCCCTGGATGTTCCTCCTCCACGTTCTCCCGGCACCTGGGAGGTTCCCCTCTACACTCGCCCTCTGCACCCAAAAATGCCTCTCTGCCCTCTGCCAGCATATCCATCCCATCGGCCAGTTGAAGCTGGGTGCTGGGCCTGGTGCATCTGATGGTGCCCTCTCCTGTGGACTCCACAGATGTGTGAGGACAGAGCTGGGGAGGGGGAATCCAGCCTGACACCTCCACAGCCCTGGTCCCATTGCCCAGGCTGGCACTCTTCCTCTCAGTACACGGATGGAGGGTTAGTGGTGAGGGGCCCCTTACCTCAGAAGCAGCCTCCTTACCCGGCCATTCTAACGCAAATCCTAAAGGCTGAGGCTCTGGGAGCTGGAGGTGGGGTCCCAGTCATAACAGGGTTGTCAGCCTTTCCCTGTGGCCCCCAGACCCACCCCCTAACCCAGGGCTGTGACAGCCTTTTGCCCTCACAAGGTCCACATGCCCCCTAAAGTGCCCATGTCACCAGCCCTCCTTCACTGTCCCCCAGCTCCTCCATGCCCCCAGCCCACTGCCCCCTGACCCCCACAGGCCTCCCAAGGCTGTGAGCCTCTGCAGGGGCAGACTGCCCATAGCCTCCTCAGTAGCAGCGGGTGGGTTTTATCCACTGATTTTGGTTGGCACCCCAACATCACCAGCCACTCAAGGAAAACGAAGGTTGGGGTGCGGAGAAGGAGGAAGAGAAGCGAGAGGGGAGCGGAACACAGGTCACAGGTCGAGGCATACTGAGAGGGGCTGCTGGGAACAGTGACAGGTGGTTGAAATGGAGCCTGGGGCACAGGACAGATGTGAGGAGGAACAGGAATCCACGCTCAGAGAAGGGACTCGGGGACAGCGGGACAGCCCTGAAGAGCAGCCAGAGGCCAGCGGGTTGCCTGTGAGGGGTGATTGGATGGACAGAGGGGCTGCTGGCAGTGCTTCTCTCCTCCTGCCTCACACCAGTGCCCTCCCCAGGACTGGCTATGGTGCCCGTCTCCAACCCTGGCCAGGAGGGAGCCCCATACCTGTCACCGTGAGTCTGGTTCCTGACCCAAAATTGAGGGGCGAGTTATTGGCCACAGTGGAGGACAGCCGTGGTAAAACCCACTGTGGACCACCTGGGGCAGGCTTGGTCCTCAGGGACCCCTGAGACTGGGAGCAGGGATGCAGCTAGGAGGACAGCCTGAGACAGCAGAGACAGTGGTGGCGGAGGGACAGAGAGGACAGAGGACAGAATAAGGACAGAGGGACAGAGGGGACTGAGGGCAGAACCACACCCTTACCAGAAGGGCAGTGAGTGGCCAATTGCAGGGACAACTCAGGAGAGAACTCCCTCCTGCTTTCTGCACCAAGGTGACGGAGAAGCACCAGGGACAGAGGAGACAAAAGTGACCACTCAGTGCCCCTCCATGAGAGGCCCACACCCAGCTTCGCGCCCCTGCCCTGCCCTGAGCCTCACCGAGGACGGAGAGCCGTGTGCCCTCTCCAAAGTACTGCTGCCCCTGGTTGGCACACAGCACAGGGCCCTGCTGCAAACCCAGCAGAGGGGGCCTCTGCTTCCACCGACCCCCCAGCTGTCCCCCACCAAGACTCCATTTCCACCAGACCCTCCACCTGTCCCCTGTGGGGCTCTGGGGGTTCTAGCACATCCCCCTCCCTGACCTCAGTCTCTTGGCCATGTCCTTGGTCCCTGGTCCTTCCCAGGGGTCCCACAGGCACTGACCGGCCACGCAGGCTCCTTACCCAGGACAGAGAGTTTGGTTCCGCCACCAAAGAACAGTTTTTCGTTGGCCACAGTGTTAAAGACCCGCAGGAAAACGCGTCCCGCCCCGCACTCCTCCAGCCCAGGTCAACCAGGGCTGTGCAGGGTGTCAGGGTGGCAGCGGGGTGACCAACAGTGTGTGATCAGAGGCTCGGATCAGCCTGGGCCCCTGCACGCAGAGGCCACCTGGTCTGTCTTATGTCTTTGGAGGACAGAGATGGTCAAGTGGCCCTGCTCTGGGGACACGACCTGTCTCAAGCTTGGTGTGACCACCCATGAGATGACAGCTTATTGAGGCCATGGCCCTGTCTGCAAGACCAAGTTCACACTATCCTGCTGAAGACTCAATGGCTCCCCCGGACCTCCGGGGCCCCGTTCACTCACCAATGACACTGAGGCGAGTGCCCTGCCCGAAATAGAGGGTGTTTCCAGAACACAGCCCCCCAGGGCCACTTCAAAACTCATGTCTGCAAGCTGAGAGCTCTGCTGGGCTTGGGGGAAGTGGGGACCTCCAGGTCTCCCTTCAGAAAGTCATCACTGATTTCAGGGTCCCCAATATCTCCCACGGAGCCCCAGGGCCCACACAGCTGGGAACAAGCACAGCCGGCCTCCGTGGAGGGGACTTCATCTCCTGTCTGCTGGGTTCCAGGGCTTCACAGGCTGGGCTCGCCTCCCTCAGTCCCTCCCGTGTTCCTGCACTGGGAGCCTGCCCCCTTCCCGGGGCCCCCTAGACTTACCTACAACTGTTAGCTTGGTCCCAGGTCCAAAGGTCAGATCATAGTTAGCACACCAGGACATGGCCACTCTGAAAAGCCCCGCAGGGGTCTGGGGGTGGAACCAGAGCCTTACCTATGACAGTGAGCTTCGTGCCTTCACCGAAAAAGAGCTGAGTGTTCACACAGCATCAGGGGGCCAGAGGGAAAGGGGCCTGGATAAGGGGTGGGGGCAAGCCTTTCCTGGGCACCACGCACCCCGTGCTTTACAAGACAGACCCTTCCAGAAAGGGTGTTGGCAGTTCCTTTCGTCTCCAGGCCCTGGAGCTGGACTTGAGTCTGTTTGGTGTCTGTACCAAGGTCCCTTGAGAAGGCTGGGCAGGTGGCCTGCAGAGATGCCAGGGCCGCATGGCCCCAAGCCTCACTCTTGACGTCTGTGTGCTCTTGTCTTCTGTCCCTGTTGCTCTCTGGGCACTGGCCCTTGACTGCCCAGCCCTAGCGAGGCAGGGACAGAGGACTGCTGAGATGTGGTCCTCCTCCTGTGATGTCCAACATTCTCTCTGGAGCTGCATCCTCTCCCCCGCACAGGTGTCCACGGCCTGTCCTGACCCTCAGCCCCACTGTCACAGGGGAGGGAGGTGGTGGTTCTGCTCCAGCTGTCCGGGGGTGCGACCCAAAGAGGCCTGGGCCATAGGCTGGGCTAGGAGGTTTCTGTAAAGGCCTCTCGTTGAGTTGAATCACCGTGGCCCCCTGTCCCCACAACGTTGCAACTTTGTACAAAAACGGCTCCAGAGCCAAGAAACCACCAGCCAGCTGCTCCTTTGAGGGGAGTCACTGTGGGAGAGGCGGCGGACGTGGTGCGGGCGCCCTGCTGCCGGCTGGCCTCGGCCTCAGACCTGAGAGGCTGACGTGACTACTGGGGGCTGCTTTTCTCGTGACGCCTCATCTGCGGGTATCACTGGGGAGCCCATCACAGAGAGCACCCCCCATCCTGGCTGACGGTGCAGCGCTGCAGGGACACGGCCACGCCTCATGATGTTCAGACCCCTCTCTGCGGGGACACGGCCATGCCTTGTGACGTTCAGACCCCTCTCTGCGGGATACGGCCATGCCTTGTGACGTTCAGACCCCTCTCTGCGGGGATTCGGCCATGCCTTGTGACGTTCAGACCCCTCTCTGAGTATGACTCTGTCCTCTCAGCTCCATCTGTGCCTCCAGGGGCGGGTGAGGTCTGAGTTCTCTGGGGGTGCGACCAGAAGCTGGGGGACCTGGGGCTTGTCCAGCAGTGAGCATGCATCAGGGGTGGGAATACATGTGGGTGTGGGCTTGTCCAGCCGATTGTGTGTTTTGGGGGCGGGGCTGAGTGCAGGCTTGAGGGGATGGGTGCATGCTGGGGTTGGCCTCGGGGTGGGCAGGGTGTGTGTCCTGAGCCCATCCTTGCTGGGCTCCGTGTCTGCCCAGAGCCCACCGCCCATCAGGTGGAGTTGAGTGGACTTGCTGCCAGCTGTCCCCAGCGGTCCTGAGGGCAGAAGGACTTCACAGAGCTGCCTGACGCCCTCCTTCCACACACCTTTGACACGGAGCCACGTGGAGCATTTCTGACGCGCCATCCCACGGGTGAGGGGGAATCCCCTCATCCTGGATCGTGGACACCCCCACCTCAGCTGGGGATGGACACTGGCCTCATCTAGGTTGGAGTGTGGAAACATTCTCCATTTGGTTGAGTGTGGACATCCCCCCACTTTGGCAGGAGAATGGACCTGTTCCCACTTCTGGGGAGTGGACTTGTCCTGGCTTCTGCTGGGGAGTAAACCTGTCCTGGTTTCTGGTGGACAGTGGACTCATCTTGGCTTCCCCTGGGAAGTGGACCTGTCCAGTCTTCCCCTGGGGAGTGGATCCATCCTGGCCTCTGCTGGGGAGTTGACCCTTCCTGGCCTCCCCTGGGGAGTGGACCTGTCCCAGCCTCCCCTGGGGAGTGGACCCACCTGATTTTCCCTGGGGAGTGGACCCACCCGGCCTCCTCTGGGGCCCTGAGTCCTGAAATGAATCAAACCAGCGAACGTGTGGCTGTGGAGCAGCTTTGCACTCGCAGCAGCCACAGGACAGAGCAGAGCTGCCCGCGGGATTCCCGAGGCCACGGGTCTTCACAGAGGCAGACGGCTTCGTCCTTCTCACGGAGAGACTGGTGGCTCACGTCACCGACCTTTCGATCCTGAGAGCTCTGACCACTGCACCAACAAGTGCCTGAGCAGTGACACCAAAGTGGACTTTTTTCTTCTCATATTTTTTAATTATTATTAATTTTAATGAACATTTACAGAGGCTTTGGATTTCATTCATTGTTGCACTTTTCTCCCTGCCCACCCCTCCCCCTGCCAAGGTGGACTTTTAAAATAAATGATGTTCAGTGAACCAGGCAGGCCTAGAAGAAGGCCGTGCTTGATCAACTCCACACATTGTGCACCCAGAGATCACCAGCAGGGCGAGACCTTGTTGAGGGAAAAACCCATCAAAGTGCTCAAAGATACAGAAAACTCTTTCATTGCCAAGTTAGAGCTGACCTTTCAAACCACGGCTTAAAAATCTAGAAGAAAACAAAAAAGAGAAATTTGACCACACAAGCCCCCACCCCCACTCCAAGTTCCAATTCAGTGGCTCCTGCGTCTCCACTGGAGGGGCCTGGCTCATTCCACCTGGTGGTGGACTTGAACCGGTCACCTTTTGGTTAGCAGCCTGTAACACACCAGGTTAGCAGGGAGCCTAAGGATGACATAGTGACAGAGACAAGTATGAACAAAATCAACAGGTAAATCACAACCTGGGGAAGATAATAGCAATTCTTATCACCAGGGCTGGGCTTTCTGACATGCCACACACCTAGAAGCCAATGATAAAATGACCCAGCATGTCAATAAAAATAACAAAGCACAAAAGACGCAGGGAGGAAGAGACCCAGACAGAGCTTAACCGGCTCGAAAAATTCCCTGCTGTCCGGTGGGAACCTGCTCACGGCTGATCCCCCCTTGGGCCTCTGAGGCTGTAATGGGCACAGGCAGGGACTGACCGCATTTGTCCAGAGGAGCCTCCAGGGAGCTCCCTACAGCCTACACCATCTCACAAAGTAAAACTGCTGTGAGCAATGGCCTTCCAGGAATTTGATTAACAGAGCCTCAGAAGAGAACGAACTGCTGTGCTGGAACCTTTGTGTGAAATAAACCCTCTTCCAAGTGGTCTGCTGGCAGGAGGCAAAGCGAGGAGATGAAGCCGCTGTGGAGAGGAATTTGGAAATAGCTGAGAGAATGGCATGCGCCCCTACTTCTCCAGCCAGGGGGTTCCACCGGGAGGAAATTCATTCCTGCAAATATGTTTTCACACAAATGGGAAACTAAAAAGCGTGACAAATATTTGCATGATTTGAAATGGCAAAGCAATGGGAAGAACACAAATATCCCCCACACCCAGGAGGACAGGATGCAAACAGTGTAATAAATCCACACGAGGGAATATTGTCCAACCCCGTAAAGAACGAGGAAGCTTTCTATCTCTGGAAAGATCTCAGCGTGTGGCACTGGTCTGTGAACGGCAAGCTGCTGGCTGGGGTTTGCCTGGCGGAGGTGGGGCTCTGAGAACATACACTTCGGTTTCTCAATTCTGCACAAAGAAACACTAAAAAAGAATAAAAAAAATGAGATCCGCGGGAGGAGTTATTCAGAGAGGAGGCACAGGGCCGAACCCCGCTCAGTGACAGCTTTGCTTTATTGCTTCCATTTTTTAACCACACAAATACATTTTCTGTTAAAAAAAATTCAAGTAAGAACAGTTTTTAAATAGAAACAAAAATCAAACAAATGATGCTTTAAATTATAACCAAAAATCATCCACTACCTAAAAACAGTTGTTACTATTATGTGTCATGGTGCTGGAAACAGTTGTTATTATGTGTCACCTGACCTGCGCCTGGCTGGCCCTCCGGCGGCTTTTCAGAGGCTGTGAATCACCCAGGAGGAGACTGTCCGTTTCCTCCGGGCAGCAGCTGGTGGATTCGAGCTGCTTGTCTTGGCTTGATAGCAACTCCTCACCCACGAGGTTGTCAGAGCTCCACCAAATGGAGTGAAATATCTGTTTTACAAAGTAATTTTTTTCCTTCCAGGAAGACTACATCCTTAAACCATCCTGTTAGGGACGTGGTGACTGGCAGCGACCCCTTACACACAGAATGAGACCCTGTCCGAGCTGCTCCGCCTTCACAAGCCCTGGTCCTCCCTGGGCTGTTGTCATCACTGCACCAGTGCACCCCCGGCAGGATTTTGTGCTGCAGACCGCTTACTCATCGCAAAGACTGTGGTTAAAAGCGGAGATGTGAGGATGATGGAACCAGGCAGGGCTTTGCTCTCTGCCTCCATCCACCGACAGCATACGCAAGGGGCTCCCCTGAGCGGATCCACAGTCACACTGTCTGTGCAAAGAGACGGTGGAGAAGCTCAAGAAATTGTCCTCTGTGCCCGGCTTTGCTCAGTGGGCCCCAGGCTCCTGGGGGCTTGTGGAAAATGCAGGTTTCTGGTAGTCCTGACACTGTTTTGAGTCAAAGTGTCAAGTTTGGATCTCTAACCTGATGGTATAGATAAAATCAAGCAAACAGAAGATGACCCGAAGTCACTAGTGAGAATCAGGCTGGGCCCCCAGGGAGCCCAGAGGATGCCTGTAACGTCCAGCGCATCCCAAACAGGGTGTGAGGTCAAGGCTCTTTGAATTTAGGGCACAAAAAAATGAGTGGCTTTCTGTTTGTCATGTTAAAACTCATTATGCAGCCCTTTAAAGTGCTCCAGAGTAAAGCTGTCACTTTGTGGGCTCACACGTGCCTGGTTGTTGTGGCCGCTGTGGAAACCCGTGTCCTGTCGAGTTTGTGAATGATCAGATGCTTTAAGGAGTGCTTCCTTCTGTTGACTAAACCAGAGACTGTGTTCACTTGAACAGATTCAAGCCCTGGCATTGCTGATTGCCTCATACACATGTGAAAACTGGAACAAGACTTAGGTAGACCAGTGGGCTGTGGTGGCCTAGTGGCAAGAAGCTGCACTGCAATCACAGAGATGTGTGGTTCAAATTCACCAGATGCTCTGCTGGAGAAGGAGGGGCAATCTCCTCCTGTACCAGTCAGATCTGATTTGAGGTTACACACACACACAAATGATAAAATGAATTTAAAAAAAAGGAATAAGGAAGACCGGAGAGTGTAGTGCTGGGCGAAGAATGTTGAATGGTCTCTGGACCAACGGGAGGTCTGGTGAAAGACGTGCGGATGGGAGACGCCTTCTGTGTGAGGGTGACAGGACGTGGTCTCACGTATTTTTGATGTGCTTGTAAGGAAGGACATCGTAGTTAGTAGAGTAGGAGTTGTCATTGTTGTTGCATGCCATGAAGTAGGAACCGACCCCTAGCTGCCCCAGTGGGTTTAGAGAGGCCTCCGGAGGCTGTAAACCGTATGGAGGGAGAAAGTCCATCTCCCATGGGTTTGAAACACAAACCTTGGATCGCAGTACAGCTCCTGACCACTATGCCACCAGAGTACAGGGTCACCAAAAAAGAGGACGTTCCTCAGTGAGGTGGGTGGACACGGTAGCTGCCATAGTGGGGCTCAGACATGACAATGATGTGGGCACAGGGCTGGGCAGGGCTTTGCACACAGGGCCACTCAGCACAGGAGGAGATAGGACAGCCCCTGGCATCTTATGGACAGTGACAGAGAAGAGCCTTGGACCATCAGCTGAGGCAAAAGGCCACTAGTCGCTTCTGTGAGTGGGCAGACCCTTCATCATCCAGTGCGTGCAGAGGCACGGTCATCGATTTCACCATCTTTTGGTCAACTCTGTCATGGTTTCCTGTCTCGTTATGTGCCATAGAATTGGAGCTCACTCAAAGCTGGCCCTCCGGTGGAGTTTTTGAGGCCGTAAATCACATGGAAGGAGATTGAACTTTACGCTGGTAGAGCAGTTCCTTACCACTAAGCCACAGGGCTCCTGACTCTCCCCCTTCCCCGTCAGTTTTTACACTGAGTATGTTTCCTTCCGTTGATTTGTTTGAGCAGAACGTGGTGCCACGCCGGCCGACCTCACGGAACGCTGCTCTGTGCGGATACTGCGGCCTCTTTGGGTCCACAGACCACTTGGTCCGGGTGCCCAGGGCAGGAAGGCCCACCACTCAGGCGCTGCGCCAAGATAGGCTCAATACGGGCAGCAGAGGGCAGCATTGGCTCACTTTTCAGGCCGCAGCATCTGGGCCCCTGGCAGTGAGGAGGTGCAGGTGTGGGGTGGCTGGGGGAGGCCGGGCGGCTCAGCGGTGAGCTGGTGGTGGGCACAGAGCTGGTGGTGGGATTCCCGAAGCCTGTTCACTTACCTCGGGGAACTCGGACATCAGCCTGAACTCAACCCACAATATTCTTGTATGTGGAACCTGTGTAGAATTGTAACCCCGGTCACAGTCACACACGGACAAGGCAGAGCTTGGATTGGAACTTGCATCCTGGTAGACATGCTGGCTGAGGCCCCCACTCTGTGCTGTGACTCCCCTTCAGCAGTCTAGTCCGAACTGCCCTGTTTCCAGCTCGACCTGTCTGCTGCATGGACAGGTGCAAGCCCCTGGTGAGCCTCAATCTGCCCCTTTAATGTGCGGACAGGACACTCCCTGAAGGGTTATTGTGAGGACTGAGTGGGACCACACGTAGGAAGCTTGTGACAGTGCCTGGGCATAGCTGGATGCCACGCCTCTGACTTCTGGGGGTCAGTGCCTGGGCAGAGCTGAGTGCCACGCTCCTGACTCCTGGGGACCAGTGTCTGGGCTTAGCTGGATGCCATGCCCCTGACCCCTGGGGGCCAGTGCCTGGGCAGAGCTGGGTGCCATGTCCCTGACTCCTGGGGGTCAGAGCCCTTGACCCATGGGGCTTCTCTGGCTGGTTCAGTAGCCAGGCCTTTCTTCCTGCTCTGTCTTAGTCTGGATGCTCCACTAAAACCAGCCCACCCTGAGTGACATGGTGTCCAGCAGTGCACAAGCCACCACATGATGACACACTGGCCCATGGGGCAAGTCTATCCTTACAGTGCCTAGCAAACATGATGTGGACAGCAGCCATGGCTGGACAGGTCAGGTGTGGACAGCAGCCGTGGTTGGACAGGTCAGGTGCCGACAGCTGTGCCTGGTGCCTGACTAGACAAGCCCTGGTGAAGCAGTGGTTAAGGCCTAGCTGCTGTCAGTAGTCTGAACCCATCAGCTGCTGCGTGGGGAACAGTGGGGCAGTAAAGACCACAGTCCTGGGCAGCCCATGGGGAAGTCCTGCTCTGCGCCACAGGACGCTGAGGAACCGACCGTGACGGGAGGAGCTTTGTGTGCTTTGGGTGCACAAGAAGCTACTCCTGAAGCGCCTTACGCCGCTGAGACCCTCACCAGGGCGCCTGCCGGGAGGGGCTGTGGGCTGGTGGGAGCGGGTGTGTTTGCTGGGGTGTGAGGCTGCCCGTGTCAGGTGAGACCAGGAGGCTCAAGTCCGAACATAGTTGTGTTCACTCTCTAACAGTGTTGAGCAAGGATTTGGGGTGAGCATGGTCACTGTCTACTCCCCAGCTCCCACAGGTGGCCTGCGCGAGGAGGAGGAAGCAGGCAGAGACGAGCGTCGAAGCAGGTGTTTTATTGTTGCAGTGGAACAGGGAGGGGGCTCAGTTGGCGGCCATGGTGTCCTGGATCCAGTCCACGAAGTTGCAGACCTTGGTGTAGACACCAGGCCTGTTCTTCTGGGCACAGCCGTAGCCCCAGGACACAATGCCCTGCAGCTCTCCATTGCAGACCACGGGGCCACCAGAGTCACCCTGAGGGAGAGGCCAGGTGTGCATGTCAGGAGGGGGCAGGGCTCCCGTCTGACTGTGCGCAGAGGGGGCTGTATCCTAGTCTGATTATGTCTGGGTGGACAGGAATTCTAGCCTGACTGTGAAATGAATGCAGGATTTCCAGTCTGACTGTAGGGCAGATGGTGGACAATATCCTAATCTGACTGTACCTGGGGGTGGGGTGGGCGATGGGCTGTATCCTAGTCTGACTGTCCACAGAGAGGGGCCCAGGATATTCGGTCCAGCTGTGCCCTGACCTGGAGGAGCCCCAGCCTGCTTCTTAACCTCTCCTGGATGCTGGGGGTCTCACCTGGCAGGAGTCCTTGCCGCCCTCCAGGAAGCCAGCGCAGACCATGTTGTCTGTGATCTCTCCGGGGTAGGAGGCCTCACACTCTTCATGGCTCAGCAGGGGCGCGACCAGGCACTGCAGCAGCTCAGGGTAGTTGACTAGAGGTTGGGGGAGCGTGAGGAGACGTGGACATCAGGATGGAGCCCCCAGGCAACTGTGGGCACTATCTCCTTTCTCAGCACAGCCCACTTAGGGTTGTGAGCTGTGTTCCCGTCAGAGGGGTCTCTGCATGTCCCTCCCCACTGGTGACCAGAGCGGGAGCTGGATGGGACAGCAGCTCTGGTGACTCCATGCAAGCCTGTGTGGGTGGAGCTGGGGATGCTGCAAGCTGGAGGGGAGGGGAAGGGGGGCTCACTCACCACCAGAGCTGAGCGTGTTGCCCCAGCCGGAGATGAGGCACTGGGTGCCAGCAGGGGCGCAGGCAGAGGGCAGGGCCACAGTGGACACTCGAGTGTTGATGGCAGCTCTAGAGTTGAGCTTAATCAGCATGATGTCATTGTCCAGGGTCCAGCTGCTGTAGCCGGGGTGACGGATGACCTTGGCGGAGTTGATGAACTGCTCATCTCCCTCAAGGACGTCGATGTTGTGCTCGCCCAGCCGCACCTGAATTCGGCTGCCAGGGGAGGGAACACACCTGAATTCGGCTGTCAGGTAAGGGATAGCAAGTTCTCCTGGGCTTCTACTCTCTCCAGGGTGATGGGGCTCCACAAGGTGACAGATCAGCACAGAGGGGAGGCACAGACTTCCTGTTCCAGGGAAGGTGGAGGTGAAGGTGGA